GCGGAACTGCAGAGGCTATTTATTCCTGAGCTTCTGAGATGTTCATGTTTCGTGATGAACCAGGGTGTGGCTCGTAACGCGAGAGAAACTTTTTCCCTCTTTCCGCATAGGCTGCAAAAGCGCAGGCCGAGTCTGCCTCCACTCAGAAAGCAGAGAAGGAAGTGACCAGGATGGTGATTATCATGGTGATGGGCTTCCTGGTGTGCTGGCTACCATATACGACCTTTGCTCTTTGGATTGTCTTTAACCGTGGGCAATCCTTTGACCTGCGAATGGCCACCATACCTTCTTGCTTTTCAAAGAGCTCAGCAGTCTACAACCCGATCATCTATGTTGTCTTTAACAAACAGGTCTGTTTGGTTTGATCTCGCGCGACTATCTGTTTAACAAGAACAAGAAACAAGAGTATCTGCTGCTCAAAAAGCTAGAGTCCAGTCTGTTATTGATGATTTCACTGCTCATATTTTTCTTTGCTTCACAACAGTTCCGCTCATGCATGATGCAGATGCTGGGAATGGGTAGTAGTGAAGAAGAGACATCATCATCAACAACTTCAGTGACCGAAGTCTCCAAAGTTGGGCCTGCTTAGAGGGTGCACTTGCTGATTTTTATGCCACTAAAGAGTCAGTCAGTTGTAAATAATATCAATGAATGTTTTCGCAATGTTAAAAAACAACAACAAAAAAAATATTCTAATAAAGTAATGTGCTTTTACAACTTTTGTGAACTCAACAAAATATTTAACATTATCATGGCATTTCTTTAAAGTGTGTGTGTGTGTGTGTGTGTGTGTGTGTGTGTGTGTGTGTGTGTGTGTTGGTTTTTTTAAAACTTTTTGTTACATCTGGTCATGATAGCAAAGAAAGGGTGTGAGAATTTCTACAACTCAAATCAAGTTCTCCCACATGTAAAACGGGTAAATCATTCTTGACAGTCAGTCGCGTCCTGTATCTTTGTTAGCTCAAGGCAAATGGGTCAGAAATGGACATGATGTGTGTGTTTGAATTACAACATATACTGTATGCACACCCGTGGGTTGCGTGTGCTTTTTTTGGGGAGCTTAAAACTTTCCCATATGTCAAACTCAAGACCCAGGGGTCAGATCTGGCCCGCCAGATCATTTTATGTGGCCCGCGAAAGCATATTTAACATGTCAACTTCTACGATGATTGCTAAAATCTGTACCAAAATTTCACATTTTCGTATGTAATAAATCAGTGACATAGGGTAAAAATGTTCTTGTTACCAAACCCCTCATTACAGTTACTTAAACAATAATTGAATAAAACGTTATTCTTGACTTCTTTATACAGTTTCAGTCATCACGGCCCTCCAAGGGAAACAGTAATTATAATGCGGCCCGGAACAAAAATGAATTTGACACCCCTGCCTTAAACCAATTAAGTGAAGCCTAAGTCATTTTCAAAGTTCCCACAAATACAACTTTAGGCCACAATTACAGAGATATACAAATGTGAGAGGATCTGCACTTCAAAAAAATTGACAATTCTTATTTTCAGTTTTGCTCACAAAACAAACACACGAGAGAAAAATGAGAAGAAATCCTCCCATGGAGCTCGAGGATGACTTCTGTGTCCCCATTCCTTCAGAGACCAACACCATCACTTTATTGCACCCGTTCCTGGTTCCCAAAGATCACCTCGGGTGCATCCCATCCGTCTTCAGGCAGTAGGCAGGGTACACCCTGAACTGCTTGCCAGCCAATCGCAGGGCACACAGAGACCAACAACCATTCACGCTCACAATTACACCAGGGACAATTTCAAGTGTTCCATTTGCCAACTACAACATATAACACAGTCTGAACATTTATTGATGTAAAAACATGGAGATGTTTTACAGTATAAACATGTCAATTACAAATATGTGTCTACTGTATGAAGAAAAAATGATTTTATTAGACATGAAACAAACAACGATAGCGTTCCTACTTCACCTCTGAAAACATTCAGTCAGCGAATGAAAAGTGCCCTCTTCCGGTCTGGATGCGCCGCGCCCCAAAGTAAGAGCACCGATGCAGAGACGAAACACATTTGGATATTTTACTGGCTATAGAGAAAATTCTGTATATTATAATGTGTATTAATGCGAGAGATAAACTGCCCCCCCCAAAAAAAAATTGACATCTAAGTTGACACTTTTTTTTGTTTTAAATCACATTTCATATGAACTCTGTCTGCAGAAACATGCGGCATGAGCAGTCCTCATGATGCGGCATGAGCAGACCTCTTGATGCCTCTTGATGGTGCCGTGTTGATTATCCTCAGAAGGAATTCCTATCTATAGCATGGACAATAACGGGAGAACATTGGGAGAAACACACAACTGACAGCAACAAGCCATCTCATTTGGACTACAACTTAGCCCTTTTCACAGTAACGTTCACTTTCAAATAGTGCTGACCTGTTGCAAGCCACCTCAAATCATGATCACCCTTTTCATCTATGAATTCACACCACCGAGCATGATACACTCATTTACTTACCAGTCTGGCTCCTTCAAAAACAAAAGGACGAAAGAGAACCATGCGGTTATGATTGTCTCTTCAATCAAATGTAAAATTTGACATTTTGCACTTGACTGGCAAGGAGGTTATTACCTGATGTCAAATGAACACGTGACTGGAAAAGTTGCCTACAGTTCAGTTCACATCAGTGTAAAAAATAACCTCAAATTAAAAATTAAAAAATAGTGCCAACCCACGAATCAAGAGATTATTCCAAAATCAGCCTGGTAATCGGCGGTCCTGAAGAGTCTCAACTCTTGTTGGTAATCGGGAGTAAATCTGAGTTCTGCTAGTAGTGAACTTTTACTGAACGGGAATAGTTCAGAACTAGCGGAATTCCAGACTTGCCCTCGAAACGTCAGAGTTGAGCCGTCAACTCTCCTCTGGATAGAATACAACAAAGAGCCATTTGCAAGAAAAGCAAAACATGCAGTTAGTGATGCAGTGGTTAGATAAATGAGTTAAACGGCAAATGTGTTCCAACCCCCTTGAAAGGCATCCATCAGCAGGAGAAGTCCTCACCAGTCATTAAGCGGCATCAAATATGCAAGCCATCTATCTGTGCAAGAAGTGAACATCTGAAAAACACAGAACGGATTACAAAACCGTGCCAAGCAGTTCCGGTTAAACTCTGATTTATTCCGGAGAGATTAAATTGTCAGACCTAATTAAACTACGGTAATCTGTTCTGTGGAGAGACCTGAGTTGTCCGTATAATCTGCTTTAGACAGTTGGGGCATAAGAGGTGTATTTCACACGGTCACCCAGATTTTTTTAGAGGACAAACAGTTGGTCCCACATTTGCTTTAGGTTGCGACTCGTCAATAAACCTGTATGCGCAAACTATAATTCACAGAACTGGGCAGGCTGGTGGCAGCAGGGTGACGTAACGGTGAGGACATCCACCATCGCTCTTCTGGTGGGACGCAATTGTGCTGGAGTTCACCACTCAACAGTTGGTGCAAAATTTCCGTGCGTCCAGGGAGTCCTTCCTCTACAGCTGCGATTGTCATGATAACCCTTGCCCCCTGACGTAGTTGGTGCCAGAATCTGGCCCAACAAATAATTGGGGCCAGTTTCAAGCACCGAAGTGAGAGCGAGAGCCAATTTCAGTTGCGGAAAAAGAAAGAAGTGGTGCTATCCTGGGCATCTGCCGGGAACTAGCTCGAGCACAAGCACGGTGGAAAAGGACCATCAGTGGTCAACTGTTGCTCTACCTGTTTGACTTCTATTACTTTCCACATCAACTATTTCCTTCTTCTTCAGGCCGACAGACTGCTTCGATGTTCAAAACAGCTTGTCAAAGATTTGAAACTAGCTACTGACCCAGGAAGAAGAAAGGTACCATTCAGCTCAATTCAGATTCAAGCCCAAGCTGTGAACTGAAATGACAACCTGGTCAATCGCAGATAATCAAACACACTTTGAAAAGCTTCGTTCTTTTCCTGCAATTAGCTTGATAGCAATACAATACATGTAATATTTACAACATACACAGACATATCAATATACTGTACAAAAACAATGAGTGCAGCCCTAAGGAGGAATGAGGAAAATGATGGCTGAAATAGATCTAATGATGGAATAGATTTAGATGAGAGTGAAGAGAAAGGTTGTGATATAAATACGTGGCAGAATTTGAACAGATGCTTCTGATCATGACATTGATGAGTGTCAAAAGTAAAAATCCTGTAAATGACTTTATTCATGGTTGCTGGAATAAATATCACGCGTTGCCTTATTTGTCATGAATTAGTGTGTTTGTATGTACACCAAACGCATTCACCTTCTTGGCCGCACAAAAGAAATCACAATGTGTTAATCACCGTCACTTTGCCTTTTCCACGAGGGCGATGACGTGAGCGTTTCGGATCAAAAGGGTGTTGAACAGTCCTGCTCTGAGGTGAACTCTCTTTACAGGGAGATTATTGGGTAGGTGTGTTCCTTCCATCACATGTCAACAACCGCAACGGTCGCGTTAATATAGTGGCCTAGATAGTCAGTTTGCCATGCGGTGGTGCTGTTAGAAGGAGCGAGGTGGAGTGGTTATCCCCTCTACACTGCCCTCGGTGTATCCCACAGTACATGCTGGAAAGTAGTGCACACACACACACACACACACACACACACAACCTATTCCAAGAAACCCATTGGTTGATATTCGGACAATATGACCAAATGTGCGCCGTGGCTTTCCTTTCTAACCCCAACGAGGCAACCCGAATCGTCAGTCTGTGCTCCAGCGACGTTGCCTTTGACTCCAGCCGCTCACAAAATGTAGTCCACCTGCTGTTTAACCTATTTGGCAGTACAGGCAAAACAGGAACCGCTAAATGAATTACGCCAATCAAGGCAAACTTAAATCATTGAGTCAATTATCGAAGTCACTTATCCCTTAATGGGGATAAGTGGTTGCCTTTGCCCTTTGTATAAAGGACCCACCACGCGGGGCCGAGTAAGACATTTGGGACGCTGGCGTTGTGGCACTCATTTACTTGACTTTCTTTATTTGGATTCATTTGCCACACGTGATTGGTTGAAGGGCATCGTAAGTCAGGAAGTGGTCGAGGTGTTTTTGCTTTCGGTGACAAAAAAAAAAAAAAAAAACCAAAAAAAGACAGCAAAATGAGGGGGCATCGAAGCAACGAGCTGCCTGAAGACTTCTGGATACCCGTCCCTTTGGACACCAACAACATCACATCGCTGAGTCCATTCCTGGTTCCTCAGGACCATCTGGGGAGTTCAGCCACCTTTTATGCCATGGCTGTGTTCATGTTCTTTATCTTTGTGGTGGGAACGTTCATCAACATCCTCACCATTGCTTGCACCATCCAGTACAAGAAGCTCAGGTCCCACCTGAACTACATCCTGGTCAACTTGGCGGTATCAAACCTTCTTGTGTCATGTGTGGGCTCCTCCACTGCGTTCTGCAGTTTTTCTGCAAGATATTTCATCCTTGGACCGTTGGCATGCAAGATTGAAGGTTTCATGGTGACACTTGGCGGTGAGCTGAAACTTGCATTTCAAACAAGGGGCGGGTATACGTGGGGCGGTATCCTGCGTGAGACCTTTCCCCTCCTCCGACACACCCGCTTCAAATGATGGCGATTGCTATCGGGCTTCTGCGGAGCTTGCTGATGAGCTGACCATTTGAATCAGCTGTGTTGGAGGAAGGGAAACATCTCACGTAGGAAGGACCAGAGTTGCGCACCCCTGATTCAAAAGATACGCAAAACCCACATGAATAGATTGAAGAGCCCTTTTAAAACCTTTTTTTCCCTTCATCCTTTTAGGTATGGTAAGCCTGTGGTCTCTTGCTGTGATTGCTTTTGAACGATGGCTGGTCATTTGCAAGCCTCTGGGAAACTTTGTTTTTAAACCGGACCATGCCATAGCTTGCTGTGTGTTCACATGGGTGTTTGCACTGATTGCCTCGGCCCCGCCACTTTTCGGATGGAGTAGGTCAGTGTCAGCGGAACGTCACACTTTTTGTCATTGCACAAAGTAGAGGGAGATTGTGATTGTCTATTTTTTGTTTCTGCTTTTTTGCAGATATATCCCAGAGGGTCTCCAGTGCTCCTGCGGGCCAGATTGGTACACCACAAATAATAAATACAACAACGAATCCTATGTGATGTTCCTCTTTGGCTTCTGCTTTGCTGTGCCCCTTGCCACCATTATCTTCTGCTATGGTCAGCTGCTCATTACGATGAAAATGGTAAGCGGAACTGCAGAGGCTATTTATTCCTGAGCTTCTGAGATGTTCATGTTTCGTGATGAACCAGGGTGTGGCTCGTAACGCGAGAGAAACTTTTTCCCTCTTTCCGCATAGGCTGCAAAAGCGCAGGCCGAGTCTGCCTCCACTCAGAAAGCAGAGAAGGAAGTGACCAGGATGGTGATTATCATGGTGATGGGCTTCCTGGTGTGCTGGCTACCATATACGACCTTTGCTCTTTGGATTGTCTTTAACCGTGGGCAATCCTTTGACCTGCGAATGGCCACCATACCTTCTTGCTTTTCAAAGAGCTCAGCAGTCTACAACCCGATCATCTATGTTGTCTTTAACAAACAGGTCTGTTTGGTTTGATCTCGCGCGACTATCTGTTTAACAAGAACAAGAAACAAGAGTATCTGCTGCTCAAAAAGCTAGAGTCCAGTCTGTTATTGATGATTTCACTGCTCATATTTTTCTTTGCTTCACAACAGTTCCGCTCATGCATGATGCAGATGCTGGGAATGGGTAGTAGTGAAGAAGAGACATCATCATCAACAACTTCAGTGACCGAAGTCTCCAAAGTTGGGCCTGCTTAGAGGGTGCACTTGCTGATTTTTATGCCACTAAAGAGTCAGTCAGTTGTAAATAATATCAATGAATGTTTTCGCAATGTTAAAAAACAACAACAAAAAAAATATTCTAATAAAGTAATGTGCTTTTACAACTTTTGTGAACTCAACAAAATATTTAACATTATCATGGCATTTCTTTAAAGTGTGTGTGTGTGTGTGTGTGTGTGTGTGTGTGTGTGTGTGTGTGTGTGTTGGTTTTTTTAAAACTTTTTGTTACATCTGGTCATGATAGCAAAGAAAGGGTGTGAGAATTTCTACAACTCAAATCAAGTTCTCCCACATGTAAAACGGGTAAATCATTCTTGACAGTCAGTCGCGTCCTGTATCTTTGTTAGCTCAAGGCAAATGGGTCAGAAATGGACATGATGTGTGTGTTTGAATTACAACATATACTGTATGCACACCCGTGGGTTGCGTGTGCTTTTTTTGGGGAGCTTAAAACTTTCCCATATGTCAAACTCAAGACCCAGGGGTCAGATCTGGCCCGCCAGATCATTTTATGTGGCCCGCGAAAGCATATTTAACATGTCAACTTCTACGATGATTGCTAAAATCTGTACCAAAATTTCACATTTTCGTATGTAATAAATCAGTGACATAGGGTAAAAATGTTCTTGTTACCAAACCCCTCATTACAGTTACTTAAACAATAATTGAATAAAACGTTATTCTTGACTTCTTTATACAGTTTCAGTCATCACGGCCCTCCAAGGGAAACAGTAATTATAATGCGGCCCGGAACAAAAATGAATTTGACACCCCTGCCTTAAACCAATTAAGTGAAGCCTAAGTCATTTTCAAAGTTCCCACAAATACAACTTTAGGCCACAATTACAGAGATATACAAATGTGAGAGGATCTGCACTTCAAAAAAATTGACAATTCTTATTTTCAGTTTTGCTCACAAAACAAACACACGAGAGAAAAATGAGAAGAAATCCTCCCATGGAGCTCGAGGATGACTTCTGTGTCCCCATTCCTTCAGAGACCAACACCATCACTTTATTGCACCCGTTCCTGGTTCCCAAAGATCACCTCGGGTGCATCCCATCCGTCTTCAGGCAGTAGGCAGGGTACACCCTGAACTGCTTGCCAGCCAATCGCAGGGCACACAGAGACCAACAACCATTCACGCTCACAATTACACCAGGGACAATTTCAAGTGTTCCATTTGCCAACTACAACATATAACACAGTCTGAACATTTATTGATGTAAAAACATGGAGATGTTTTACAGTATAAACATGTCAATTACAAATATGTGTCTACTGTATGAAGAAAAAATGATTTTATTAGACATGAAACAAACAACGATAGCGTTCCTACTTCACCTCTGAAAACATTCAGTCAGCGAATGAAAAGTGCCCTCTTCCGGTCTGGATGCGCCGCGCCCCAAAGTAAGAGCACCGATGCAGAGACGAAACACATTTGGATATTTTACTGGCTATAGAGAAAATTCTGTATATTATAATGTGTATTAATGCGAGAGATAAACTGCCCCCCCCAAAAAAAAATTGACATCTAAGTTGACACTTTTTTTTGTTTTAAATCACATTTCATATGAACTCTGTCTGCAGAAACATGCGGCATGAGCAGTCCTCATGATGCGGCATGAGCAGACCTCTTGATGCCTCTTGATGGTGCCGTGTTGATTATCCTCAGAAGGAATTCCTATCTATAGCATGGACAATAACGGGAGAACATTGGGAGAAACACACAACTGACAGCAACAAGCCATCTCATTTGGACTACAACTTAGCCCTTTTCACAGTAACGTTCACTTTCAAATAGTGCTGACCTGTTGCAAGCCACCTCAAATCATGATCACCCTTTTCATCTATGAATTCACACCACCGAGCATGATACACTCATTTACTTACCAGTCTGGCTCCTTCAAAAACAAAAGGACGAAAGAGAACCATGCGGTTATGATTGTCTCTTCAATCAAATGTAAAATTTGACATTTTGCACTTGACTGGCAAGGAGGTTATTACCTGATGTCAAATGAACACGTGACTGGAAAAGTTGCCTACAGTTCAGTTCACATCAGTGTAAAAAATAACCTCAAATTAAAAATTAAAAAATAGTGCCAACCCACGAATCAAGAGATTATTCCAAAATCAGCCTGGTAATCGGCGGTCCTGAAGAGTCTCAACTCTTGTTGGTAATCGGGAGTAAATCTGAGTTCTGCTAGTAGTGAACTTTTACTGAACGGGAATAGTTCAGAACTAGCGGAATTCCAGACTTGCCCTCGAAACGTCAGAGTTGAGCCGTCAACTCTCCTCTGGATAGAATACAACAAAGAGCCATTTGCAAGAAAAGCAAAACATGCAGTTAGTGATGCAGTGGTTAGATAAATGAGTTAAACGGCAAATGTGTTCCAACCCCCTTGAAAGGCATCCATCAGCAGGAGAAGTCCTCACCAGTCATTAAGCGGCATCAAATATGCAAGCCATCTATCTGTGCAAGAAGTGAACATCTGAAAAACACAGAACGGATTACAAAACCGTGCCAAGCAGTTCCGGTTAAACTCTGATTTATTCCGGAGAGATTAAATTGTCAGACCTAATTAAACTACGGTAATCTGTTCTGTGGAGAGACCTGAGTTGTCCGTATAATCTGCTTTAGACAGTTGGGGCATAAGAGGTGTATTTCACACGGTCACCCAGATTTTTTTAGAGGACAAACAGTTGGTCCCACATTTGCTTTAGGTTGCGACTCGTCAATAAACCTGTATGCGCAAACTATAATTCACAGAACTGGGCAGGCTGGTGGCAGCAGGGTGACGTAACGGTGAGGACATCCACCATCGCTCTTCTGGTGGGACGCAATTGTGCTGGAGTTCACCACTCAACAGTTGGTGCAAAATTTCCGTGCGTCCAGGGAGTCCTTCCTCTACAGCTGCGATTGTCATGATAACCCTTGCCCCCTGACGTAGTTGGTGCCAGAATCTGGCCCAACAAATAATTGGGGCCAGTTTCAAGCACCGAAGTGAGAGCGAGAGCCAATTTCAGTTGCGGAAAAAGAAAGAAGTGGTGCTATCCTGGGCATCTGCCGGGAACTAGCTCGAGCACAAGCACGGTGGAAAAGGACCATCAGTGGTCAACTGTTGCTCTACCTGTTTGACTTCTATTACTTTCCACATCAACTATTTCCTTCTTCTTCAGGCCGACAGACTGCTTCGATGTTCAAAACAGCTTGTCAAAGATTTGAAACTAGCTACTGACCCAGGAAGAAGAAAGGTACCATTCAGCTCAATTCAGATTCAAGCCCAAGCTGTGAACTGAAATGACAACCTGGTCAATCGCAGATAATCAAACACACTTTGAAAAGCTTCGTTCTTTTCCTGCAATTAGCTTGATAGCAATACAATACATGTAATATTTACAACATACACAGACATATCAATATACTGTACAAAAACAATGAGTGCAGCCCTAAGGAGGAATGAGGAAAATGATGGCTGAAATAGATCTAATGATGGAATAGATTTAGATGAGAGTGAAGAGAAAGGTTGTGATATAAATACGTGGCAGAATTTGAACAGATGCTTCTGATCATGACATTGATGAGTGTCAAAAGTAAAAATCCTGTAAATGACTTTATTCATGGTTGCTGGAATAAATATCACGCGTTGCCTTATTTGTCATGAATTAGTGTGTTTGTATGTACACCAAACGCATTCACCTTCTTGGCCGCACAAAAGAAATCACAATGTGTTAATCACCGTCACTTTGCCTTTTCCACGAAAAAAAAAAAAAAAAAACCAAAAAAAGACAGCAAAATGAGGGGGCATCGAAGCAACGAGCTGCCTGAAGACTTCTGGATACCCGTCCCTTTGGACACCAACAACATCACATCGCTGAGTCCATTCCTGGTTCCTCAGGACCATCTGGGGAGTTCAGCCACCTTTTATGCCATGGCTGTGTTCATGTTCTTTATCTTTGTGGTGGGAACGTTCATCAACATCCTCACCATTGCTTGCACCATCCAGTACAAGAAGCTCAGGTCCCACCTGAACTACATCCTGGTCAACTTGGCGGTATCAAACCTTCTTGTGTCATGTGTGGGCTCCTCCACTGCGTTCTGCAGTTTTTCTGCAAGATATTTCATCCTTGGACCGTTGGCATGCAAGATTGAAGGTTTCATGGTGACACTTGGCGGTGAGCTGAAACTTGCATTTCAAACAAGGGGCGGGTATACGTGGGGCGGTATCCTGCGTGAGACCTTTCCCCTCCTCCGACACACCCGCTTCAAATGATGGCGATTGCTATCGGGCTTCTGCGGAGCTTGCTGATGAGCTGACCATTTGAATCAGCTGTGTTGGAGGAAGGGAAACATCTCACGTAGGAAGGACCAGAGTTGCGCACCCCTGATTCAAAAGATACGCAAAACCCACATGAATAGATTGAAGAGCCCTTTTAAAACCTTTTTTTCCCTTCATCCTTTTAGGTATGGTAAGCCTGTGGTCTCTTGCTGTGATTGCTTTTGAACGATGGCTGGTCATTTGCAAGCCTCTGGGAAACTTTGTTTTTAAACCGGACCATGCCATAGCTTGCTGTGTGTTCACATGGGTGTTTGCACTGATTGCCTCGGCCCCGCCACTTTTCGGATGGAGTAGGTCAGTGTCAGCGGAACGTCACACTTTTTGTCATTGCACAAAGTAGAGGGAGATTGTGATTGTCTATTTTTTGTTTCTGCTTTTTTGCAGATATATCCCAGAGGGTCTCCAGTGCTCCTGCGGGCCAGATTGGTACACCACAAATAATAAATACAACAACGAATCCTATGTGATGTTCCTCTTTGGCTTCTGCTTTGCTGTGCCCCTTGCCACCATTATCTTCTGCTATGGTCAGCTGCTCATTACGATGAAAATGGTAAGCGGAACTGCAGAGGCTATTTATTCCTGAGCTTCTGAGATGTTCATGTTTCGTGATGAACCAGGGTGTGGCTCGTAACGCGAGAGAAACTTTTTCCCTCTTTCCGCATAGGCTGCAAAAGCGCAGGCCGAGTCTGCCTCCACTCAGAAAGCAGAGAAGGAAGTGACCAGGATGGTGATTATCATGGTGATGGGCTTCCTGGTGTGCTGGCTACCATATACGACCTTTGCTCT